CTAATAACAATCTGCTTCTTTTTTCTTTTTATAAGCAGCATGCTATATTTTATTTTCTAATCAACCTGTAAAGTGTTACTGTCACGTAGCTTTGGAGAAAGTGGGACTTGAAGGACTCAGGTGGTGAGTTCCAACTGGGCAGGATTTTGCCTCTTAACAAGGGAACTCACACTCAATGAGCTCCATGAGGAGCTGCGCTAATGATTCCCTGTGGGCCTTGTGCGGGTTATCACAGAGTTAAAGGGTAATGGAGAGCAGCCAGGAAAGTGGTGTTGAGGCTAAGATGAGGTCAGCCATGATCAAAGCAAGCACAGAGCAGGCTCAAGGGGCTGAATTGCCTACTGCTCCTAGTTTTTATGTTTTATATGTTTTAAATTTCATGAGATTTCCAGAAGACATTCAAATAAGGTAGCATACAAAATGATAATAGGAACAATGGAGTTGGGGCATATTTTAGTATGAATGTAGGCTCAGTTAGTAGACAGGACATGGGCAGTGATGTTAAGTGGATCATTATAAGTTGTAATTAGTGGAAAGCAACAAGGATTGATGCTGAGGCCTCAGCTATTTATAACCTATAATAATGATTTAGATGAAGAGAATAACTTATCTAGGCTTCCTGGTGATATTAAACTAGATGAGGGGATAGTTTTTTTCAAAGAGGGGATTGTTTTATGAGATGCAGAGTAAATTGAGCCTAAATTTTCCAGAGTTTAGAAGAATAAAGGCAATCTAATTGAAAAATACAAGATTATGACCAGATTTTGTAGACACAGAGAGGTTTATGCTGTTTGGGGAATCTAAAACACATGGGCACAGCCCATGAGAAGGGGCTGAACATTTAGGTCTGAGATGTTCCATTCAAAGGTATTGAATTTTTGAAATTCTGTACCCTTGAGGGTTTTGGATGTTACATAGTTGAATACAGTTAAGGCTAGGATGGACTTTTGGCCTCAGGAAATCTAGGAATATGGGAAGTAGTCAGGAAAGTGGAGTTAAAGCCCAAGATTAGCCATCATCATATTGAATGTTAGAGCAGGCTTGGTCCAGACACAGACCTGCTCCTATTATGTTTTCATGGATTCAATTGAAATGACCACAAAACATCATGAAATATATAGATACAGGAATTTTATTTAACTTTTTTGTGTACAAACAAAGGTTACAAATGCCTTAGGAATTCTTCAATTATCTTCAAATTCAAATCCCTTTCATATCTAACTAACTTTAGAAAGTGACAGCGACCTAAATCAAGTTATTCAATACAGAAACTAAACACTGCTTCCTTTTTCCTGTCTGGATGGAACTTCTCACACAGAACAGTTTTGCAAAATAAGAAAATAAAGTACATGAATCAATGAGTAAATAATCATAGTAAGCAGTGCTACTGCAGTTGCATCAGCTTGAGCGGATCACATTAACAAACTTATAGTTCTGTCAATTCAACTGACAATCCAAAAATGCAAGGAACAAATGGCTTCTACACAAAATTTGAATAAGTACTATTTATATAATTTAATCCTGATTATTTCAATAAATAACTAACCCCATGTCCCTAGACTGTGCAGGTGTCTTAACAATTACAACAATACATCAAGAGCAGGTTACAATAGTTTACAGTCATTTGGTGAAGAGAATTGTGTTTCACTGTTTAACTACAGCACTATAATACAATTTTTCCCATCTAATTATTTCCTCTAAATTGTTACTGGCAATTGTTCAGTACAGTGCCTGACAAAATCCCCATTGTTTATTACTCAGTTGACTTCACAGTAGATCATACACTACATGATAAGTTGAAAAATAACATATGGAAACCAGGTAATAGTTAATATTAAAGCATTGACATTGGAGATCGAAGTTTGCTAATAAGCCTGCAGTCACTTCAAAGGCATCTGTGTTGATGTGAAAAGTTGAGGTTTCAGCTGTTAAAGAAATACTTTTTTTTCCTGTTGCACTAAATTAATAATGACTTTCTATCAGTCTTTCAGCATCTATAACAGTACATTGTAACTGTCTGTATTTGAATACTGTTTAATATCTCCACTCATCTTGCTGAAATATATTAAAGTGAATGATAGAGGGTCATGCTCTCCATTTTTTAAACTGAGAATCTAATACAGCAAACTTTGTTTTAAACGGCACCCTCAATAAACCAGCAAAAATTATGCACCTGAACTACAAGAAGTTTACTGTATTATTGCGATCTCCATGGTGTCACAGTAGTCAGTTGAGGGTGCCAGTAAGAAGGCTCTCTGCCGGTAAGTTTTATTATTTAAGTGATTTATGCTGTAAATAAAGTATAACAGTGATGTGTATACTCCCTGCATTATGTTTCTATTACTTAGAATGTGTTTTTATGTTGACTGTAAGGACCTCTTGATCAACTGGAATATTTGGTCAACCGGCACACACTTGGTCCCATAGGTGCTGGTTAATAAGAAGTAGAAAATTTATACTGAACTATGTTTGGGGAGCTTCATGCTGTGAGGATACCCTTTGATGAGGAGTTGAGAATGGTGCAAGTTGCTTTACAGAAAATATACTTATTATCAACAGAGAGGATTCATTTTTTTATTACTGTTATCCAGACTAGTGTGCAACACAGGCTCCTGAGAGGGCACAGAATCCTCACAAACTTAATGGCCATAAAATTCTATTTGTTCTGCTTTTAAAACACAAATATTGAAATATCATGCATAGCGAAATAGTATTGTCTTGGCACGATCAGATTAATTGAAGCATATTTAAATTTGTAATAGTCCATATGACACGTTTTTGACCTCAGAATATGGGGGGTGTTCAGCAAGGCATTTCACCACAAGACATGAGGGAATACAATTATATTCAAAACATTAATGTCTTTATACTCAAAATGCTGACTTGCCTATGTTCCATCTCTACCACTTGTGGTGTTTCTGATAATCGTTAATGCTATTTACTTGCTGCATTGATTGCTGGAATGTTTTCTCACTCAGTGTCAATTTATTTTCCACAATTCATCAGCAATTTGATGAACCCTTCTCATCTCCATTGTGTGTTTTGGTGACTGGAATGATTTTTGAGAATGGAAACATCTTCCCTCTCCCTAGTCAGAGAACATACAATAGAGATAAGGGATGGGTATCATTCCTCGGGTATTGGTACATATGTAAAACATTTGTATGCAGATGCCATTTGAAGAAGGTACACAATACTACTACATAGACAGGTGTTCAGATTGTGTTGTTAATTTGATTCTTAAATTAAATTTAAGTAAAATAAAATCACGAAGTTTTGCATACCTTAGTCTCTTAAGGAGAACCACTAGTTTTATCCTACAACTTGTTTTGAAAAATCTGAAACACCAGTTCTTAAAACATCTGCAAAGAGCAACTAGTTAATGTTGGGAAAGTTCAGAGTCAACAAATCTTAGTAACTAGCATCCACTGTTTCATGATTGCACCTAGCAGACTGTCAGCATGAATCCAAATCAAGAAGATGTAATTCACTATAATACTAACTGCATACACTGGATCTCTAGCTGAAAGATTGAGCCAAACAGACCTACTTTTACTAATCTATTCTTAGATACTACATTCAAACACCGTGCTTTAGGCCTACATGGGGGTGGTCCAATATACTGATATTAAATATGCAATGAATCCCACTAAAAGTAATATAGAAAATGTGGCTCTGCTGTGATCCTCAAGGTGGTGTCCCTATCAATATTAAATATTTTGACTTACATACTAACATTTGGTGGTGCCTGTGATAATGTAACCCAGAGACAGCCAGTCTCAGGGGGACGTGCCCAGCGACAGCAGCTCTGGGGAGCCGTACATCAGCAATGCTCAGACATTGGGGAACTGTACATCAATGGCGATCAGATTCTGGGTTAACAGCTAGACAAGGGACTTTATCCTCTTTATGATCCCATTTTCAGCAGCAGCACATCATTGTTCAGAACCTGGCCTTTCCTGGGTCAGCTCAAGGTGCAGATAACATGGATTAGAGCACACTGATAAATACAATACCTCAATAATTTAACTGGCACAAGAAAGGTGTGCAATTACCAGTTTATGTAGATTTTATATAGACTTTTACACCTAAAAACTCATTGAAGATGACATTTGAGTTTCTGAAATACTTCTATAATCAGGTGCCTGTAAGCGGAAGGGTTAAGACTTATTTTGCTGATTTTTGTTTTTACACATTTCTATGCTGAGCTTTATTCTTCCAATTGGTTAGAAAAATTTATTTTAGACTCTGCAATTTTTTTTTAATCATCTCACTAATTCTAATGAATAAAACAACATTCAGCATCAGAAATTAGATTCCTACGTTCATACGCACACCAAGGGAAACATCATCAGGAATGTGCAGGCTAGGTGGGTTAACTATGGTAAACGTGTGGTTATGGGGATTGGGTGGGATGCTCTTTGGAAGGTTGATGCAAACTTGATAGGCAAAATGGCCTCTAACTGCACTGTAGGGATTCTATGGTTAAGTATCAAAACCAGCAGTTCCAACTTGGTAACCTTCATTCATTAGCAACTTTGAGAAAGATAATGTTGTAATCCCAGCCCAAAATAACCAGCTTCTGGGGTAATTAGAAAAACAATTATAAAGGGAATTTATTACATAAACTTTAAACTTAACATGCCCGCATGTTAAATTCCAGTGCTAAAACAGGCTGGAATGCATAAATGTGGCAAAATCAAACTATTGGAAAGTGAGCCCCTTGGAAGTTGCATTCTATTGAGTATGTCCTATGGTGACAGTGGAAAAACTTTTCACTGTACTTTAATGTCCTTCTCACTGTAAAACACACATGACAATAAAATTATTCATCTCATTCATCTCAAAAACAGAAGCATAGCCATTGGCAGAGTCATGTATTGCTCATGGTTTTAAACCTGTACATAGCCGTCTGCAGTTACGGAAACCTATGGAACACACAGAGTTGCATAAATGGCTGTCAAGTACATTCCTGTTAAAAGAAGGAATCAGAAACCTACTATTATTTGAACAAAGCTTTCTATAATGTCAGAAAATAATGCACTGGTACGACTAACACAAAACATTTTTCTCAGAAGCTTTTCCATGGTCATGGATTGCTTTGGGTCTTGTATATGTTCAATTCCCATTTACATTCCAATCTACAATTGCTTATTACAATAGCAAACTCCAACCGTGTTTCTATTTGCTGAGGAACTGTTAAAGGAATGAAAAATATACAGAATTATCCATCGCCTTCATACTTGAATATATCATTAAGATATCAAGTTATAACATAAGAGGTGTTAAATTATCACTGTTATACACTGCCCTCTGGTGTACATGAATAGGAGAGCTTCTATTCAGTTCTCTAAAACATTCAAGAAGCTTGGTTTGTGACTGTTGATTAAACCAGTGACAGTAACTAACAATATGATGTCCCATGTTTAATGAAACAGTGATAAAGGTCAACACTGTACTGTTGATAGTTGCTTGCTGCTGTGTTTCAAACTTGGATGACTAACTACTACACCTCTGTTGAGAAAAGGATGCTCTGGCGTTTACTGTCTGGTGTTGGAATGGTCTCCAGCTGCAGGAAATAGAGCAGAACTTGCACCTGGAAAAAAACAAGGTGAAATTCTTATGAAATAATCTGAATAGTAAGTTTATTAAATTGACATTGTAAATAGCCAAAAAGCTTCAGGTGTATCATAAAGACCAGGGGTTTCAATCATTTGATAACCAAGAAATTAGACTCATTATATAACTTAAATTCATGCAAGTGTGATTTTTAAACACAAAACATCATTCACTTTACCACAGTTAGAATCTTAGAATGTCAAGCCTAAGAGAGCCATTCAGGTTTACTAAAGCACAGAAAAAAGTGCCAGAATACCTACTCCTGATGGCTAACCATGTGTTTGAACTTTGTTGAGCTCAGGATTATGTTCAGCGTCTTGTCCCCTATTTCATTTGAAGAGCTTCACAATATTCATCATTTAATCAGAGTGAAACATGCCTCATAGGTTGAATGGCCTATTGGCCTAGGAGTTATGTCCATAGAAATAAGATACTTGAAAGGATGTGGATTTTTATGTCGACATCAGAAGTTGGATAAGGGGAGGGAAGAATAGATTAAAAAATCCTGATTTAAAGAGTGGTGTGGTGACAAGTCATATTAGAGTGGAAGCAGGAAATGTTCATTCATTGGATGCCACACTGAAAGGTAGGACTGATTGGAAGGTATTCAACAGAAAAGAAGAGTGTATCATGTCAGTCACTGATTTTCCTCCCCAGTTTTCTCCTCACACTTCTCCTTGGGACTTGGTTATCCAAGAGCAGACAGCTGTTCTGTAGATCACCCAAATGGCCATTTTTCATGTTTGAACTTCAGCATTCTGTCTTTGAGCAATGTAACCAATGGGCCAAATCAGAGAAGCCCAATTGTTTTTTCCCTTACCTGGTCCAGAGGTAATGTAACTAATTGTAGTAAATTTACTGCAACTTCAGCAGAGGTCTCTGAACTTCTGAGGATCTAGAAGTTTAAAGCAATGTATGGGGTTTCTGCATAATACCCACCTAGATATCATAGAATCACAGTGTGGAAAGAAAAAAGCCATTCAGCCCATTGACTCCACAGTGACCCTCTGAAGAGTATCCCATGCAAACCACCCCCCATCCCATAACCCCGCTTTTACCATGGCCAATCCACTTATCCTGAACATCCCTGGATTCTATGGGATAACTTAGCAAGGCCAATCCACTTAACCTGTGCATCTTTGGACTGTGGGAGGAAACCGGAGCACCTGTGGAAATCCATGCAGACATGGGGAGAACGTGCAAACTCCACACAGACAGTCAGCCAGGGCAGAAATTGCTAACCACTGAGCCACCATGCTGTCATATCATTTGTAAATTGAGCAAAATTCAATGAAATAGTTTGAAATATTGCAGAATTTTAAACCTAAAGTGAAGTTACATGAAGAACAATTTTTCACAGGAGTAACTGTGATCTTTTATGCTGGTTCAAATGCAAGAGGAAAGTATACAGTAAATATAGAATGGCGGCTCAGTGGTTAGCACTGCTGCCTCACAGCGCCAGGGACCCAGGTTCAATTCCAGCCTCGGGTGACTGTCTGTGTGGAGTTGCATCTTCTCCCCCTGTCTATGTGGGTTTCCTCTGGGTGCTTTGGTTTCCTCCCACTGTCCAAAGATGTGCAGGTTAGGTGGATTGGCCATGGGAAATGCAGGGTTACAGGGGTAGGGTAGGGGCGTGGGTCTGGGAGGGATGCTGTTCAGAGGGTCAGTGTAAACTCGATGGGCTGAATGGCCTGCTTCCACACCCGTCGGAATTCTATGATTCTATGAAATGGCAGGAACCTTAGGAGCATTGATATCCAGAGAGATCTCAGGGTGCAAGTCCATAGCTCCCTGAAAATGGCAACACAAATGGATGAGCTGGCAAAGGTGGCATACGGTATACTTGCCCCATTAGTCAAGGCATTGAATATAAAAGTTGACGAGTTATTTTGTAGCTGTATAATACTTTAGTTAGGCTACATTTGGAGTACTGTATGCAGTTCTGGTCACCATATTATGGAAAGATGCAAAGGCCTTGGAGTTGATGCAAAAGGGGTTTAATCAGGATATTGCCTGGATTGGAGTGTACTAGCTATAAGGTGAGGTTGGACACACTTGTTTTCGCTACACCATTGGAAGCTGAGGGGCAACTTGAGAGAAGTATATAAAATTATAAGCATGGGTAAGGTGGATAATTGGATCTGTTTCCCAAGGTGGAAATGTCAAGTACTAGAAGGCATACATTTAAGGTGAGAGGGGAAAAGTTCAAAGGAGATGTGCAAGGAAAGACTTTTTTCCACACAGAAGGTGATAGGTGCCTGGAATGCTCTGCCAGGGGAAGTGGTAGAAGCAGATATGATAGCAATGTTTATGAGGCAATTAGACAGACACACAAACAGGCAGGGAATAGATAAAATGAACAATATGCAGGCAGATGGGATTAGTTTAGAATGGCATCGTGGTCGGCACAGACACAGTGGGCTGAAAGGCCTGTTCCTGAGCGGTACTGCTTTATGCTCTAAATAGCCATTCATCTGCTTATTTTCCTACCCACTAACAAGCCATGCCCCAGAACAATATTGCAAATGTTGGCTGATTGATAATGTTAATCACATTGCAGAAATTCTTGGACACCTATGGTTATATGAATCCAGCATCTATTACCTGTCCTGCAATGGCCAACAGTCAATTGAAAGCCACATCCAAGTCTTTTTCTTGCTGTTGCTGCAATTGACTCAATCAGGTGGCTTAGGCTGACCGGTGATCACAGGTTTTATGTACTATGGATATGACAAAATTATCAACAAAAGCCAATATGACCAATAGGTCTAGATCAATCAGTTAGGGGCTCCTGTGGCAGTGTCGTAGTGTTCCTACCTCTGAGCTAGCAGGCCTACTCCAGAGATGTGTAATAACATTGCTGAAAAGGTTGATTAAAATATTTAAATCAGTCAGTTAGAGGGCTGTTGTGTCACAGTGCTCCTATGTCTCAGCCAGGGGGTTCGAGTTCATGTCCCACCTGGGGTGTGGTGATAACACATCTGAACAGCTTGGTTAGGAAATAGACCCATGCTGCTACCCTATCTCTGTAACCCTGCATTTCCCATGGCCAGTCCACCTAACCTGAACATCTTTGGACAGTGGGAGGAAACCAAAGCACCCAGAGGAAACTCACACAGACACGGGGAGAAGATGCAAATGATCCTCTGATGCATCAGTTGATTAAACCAGTCTTTAATTCACTTTTCCAAATTAATTTTGATTTATCCCCCTTCACCTTATGTTTGATGGTCTGCATTGCCCTTAATGGGTTTTGGATGTAATTTAATCAATTGGAGAAGAAGGGTGGTTTAGTGGTGGTGGTTAAATGATGAAAATAAATCATAGGTGGTTTTGTGATTAAAGGAAAAATTCAGTTGTTTGTGAGAATACTTCTGGATTAAAAGAAACTGATCAGTTAGAAAGCTGTTGTGGCACAGTGGTATTGTCCATTCCTCTAAGCCAAGAGGCTCGGGTTCAAGTCTCACCCGCTCCAGAAGTGTGCATAATACCTATGCACAAGTAGATTAGAAAACATCTAGATCAATCAGTTGAAGAATGATTTACCTATTTATCTTTATGATAATGGAAAAGGCCCTACTCAAGTGAGAAACAGATTATAATCATTGAATGGTTGAGCTGATTCTCAGCAGATTTAATATTTGGGTTTATGCTGATGCCTTAGTATGGATCTTTCATCTCAGCAAAACTGACGCAGGGTCCAGTGTATTCTAGGCATTATTTTAACTTCTATTTTATCATTTGTGCCTTTAGTAGAAAGTCCATGGCTTCCTCATTGGTAATTATCACTGCTTTCACAACACAACTTCTTAGTACAGCTTTGCATTTGAAGAATGATCAATTTTTCAACAATTAAAACAACAAAGAATGAACAAATAACTACCTGTGACATCACCTCCAGTGACCAGCTATCTGCCATTGAGATTGCCTGTGTGGGGTTTGTTGGTATTTTACTGTCTTTTTCTGACGGCCTCAGTAGTGTGGGTCCGAAGACGGTGGCCAGGTTATGCAATGACATCTTGTTGATCTGCTCTTTTTCTGCCACCCTGTTGAAATAAAAATGAGAATGCATCACGGGTTAAACTCATCAATGACCAGACCACCAGGAAGGAACATTGTGCTGTATAATTTTTATCTTGTTAAAGTAGATCTTTTTAGGTGATCACCTTCAAGATGCTCTTTCAGAAAAATGATTTTTGTGTGAATAGCAATTACATCACAGAAACAAGATGAAATTGATTACTTTTAACTGTGGAGTACGTTGGAATCAAAATTTGAAGTTGAAATTACTGAAGCACGACGTTAGTTCACCTCTATTACCAGCTTCAGCGATCTCTCATCGACGTAATTGGCATTAAAATGTTTACAGTATTCACATTAAAAAAAACTATTGACAGAAATTGACAGACTCATTTTACAAGTCACTCTTACACTTTTATTATCAACTTGGCTCTGTGGTATCATTCTTAAAAGCTGCGGGACCAAGCCTAACCGCAGCACTTAAGTCCTTAACTGAGGTTACCAGATACGTACAATAATGAGGGAGTGCAGGACTCTGCTGAGCCTTAATTTTAGATGAGAGTTTAAAATGAATCTCTCTCTGTCTAAGTGAACTTAAAAGATTTGATGGAACTATGTAAAGAGCAGGAAGTTGTTCAGGTCCTTGTTTGGAATAAGAGTTAATCTCAGATAGTGTTGTAGCTGATAAGGAGAGACTACAGAAGTGTCTCTGTTAGCACCAGCCTTGAAAGGCATTTGCCATAGATTTGGAAAATTAGGAAGCAGGTATCAGGTTTTTGAACTTCTTCTTGTTAGAAGTAAGTCCAGTTAACCGTAAGGAGTAACACTTTCAAATTTGCAGACTTACACATAGCCATAGTGAGAGAAAGAGATAAAATGTTAGATACTTCAGAACTTGATGTGACTCAATTTGTCAATTCCTTGGACTTGAATCCTGTAACAAATAAATTCCCCAGTAGCTTGTGTAAGTTTAAGTATATGCACAACAGTTAGTTGTAATGGTTATTCTTGTATATTTTTTATGAAAGTCACTACATGCAGATGAATCCTATTATTTCGTTGAACTCCAATTGTACAAGTAAAACGATCCATTCTCTAAACATCCTATCATACATTTCTCACAACCAACACCTCCAAAAATATGATAATCCATTTCATTGCTATTAATGAGACTTTGTTCTGTACAATTTGGTGGCCACGTTTCCCTGCATTTTAACTTTGATTTCAGGTCAAAAGGTAAACCAGCTTGGGAAAATGAAAGAATGTGATGCAAATCAAAATTGTTTTTAAGGAACTATGCACAGGAAAAGAAACCCACGTTTGCTATATCATTGTGTAACATTTCATAAAATTCCCCCCTTTTTTTAAAAACATACAGAAATTGAATTTTATATTTCCTCAATTTTGCTTTGGTCCAATATTAGAAACTTAGGGAGAAATGTTTAAGGAGAAAACCTTCTAAAAACATTATTACTCACAGTTAACCAAATCTGATGAGTTACTTAATCTTAGATGGGACAGCTACGAATCCACAACCATTATCCTCAACACTGCAGTAGTGGAGAAAAAGGTGTAAAGAAAAAGAATCAAATCAACTAAGCACCCTGTTTCTTCACAATGACCACTGCAGGAAATGTCATTATAATAGGGTCAGGCTGGTCTGCATTCCCTTCAAAGTTGAACAACATCACGACTGTCTAGGAGGACAGTGGAAAGAAGGAGCAATTGGGTGAGGAACCAGTCACCCATCCTATTTTGGGAAGGACTGCAAGCTTAAGGGGAAGACAGAATTGAGAGCAACAACAGGAAAAGGGTGCTCATCATCTGCCATACGACAGAAAACAACAGGATAGTAGAAATATTTAAAACATAAAACTCAGGATAAAACAAAGTAAACTGAAGAGATATTCCAGTTATATGAACAGACAAATTACAAACATGCACAGAACTCATCAGGTCTGGCAAGATCTGTGGAGAGAGAATCAGAGCTAACTTTTCAAGTCCAATCATATTGGACTCAATGTTAATAGTTTCTCTCTCTCCACAGATGCTGCCAGACATGCTGAGTTTCTCCAGCATTTTGGGTATTTGTTTCAGATTTCCAGTAATTCATAGTATTTTTCTTTTACTAAACTATGAACAGGGCTTGGGTGTGAACAGGAAGGACCAATTTCTTACAGCAGTGAAGTCAATAACCAGGGAACATGGCTTCAAGGTATTTAGTGAAAGGGGAGTTGAATATTTATTTTTAACCCAAAGGATCTGGAACTCACCTTGTAAGTAGTTAAGACATAAACCCTCAGCACATAATATAAAAACTTACCTCGTGCAGCAGTGGCCTTCTTGTTTGGAGCTGTGGGAGCGCGAGCCAGGGTGCTGATGGGAAGGTAAGGTTTTCTCCTGGATAAAAACTTACCTCGTGCAGCAGCGGCCTTCTTGTTTGAAGCAGCGGGTGTGTGGAGAGAATGCAAGCCAGGAAGGAACTAATATATTCGGGCAATTTTTTAAACCTGAAACACTACACGTGTAGTGTCTTCCCACACATCCTCCTCCTCTAACCAAAAAAAAAAGATTGTGTGGTCGGTAAGGTAAGGCTTTTTTTTTATTCTTCTGTAAATCTAGAGTAGAGGGAATGGAAGCTAGGGCAGTTGCATGCTCCTCTTGCAGGATGTGGGAGGCAAGGGTCACTGCTGGTGTCCCCTCTGACTTCACCTGCAAGAAGTGCACCCAACTCCAGCTCCTCACAAACTGCGTTAGGGAACTGGAGCTGGAGCTGGATGAACTCCGGGTCATTCGGGAGGCTGAGGGGGTGATAGAGAGGAGCTATAAAGAAGTGGTCACACCCAAAGGTACAGGAAAAAGCTAGCTGAGTGACTGTCAGGAAGGGGAAAGGGAATAGGCAGACAGTGCAGGGATCCCCTGTGGCCATTCCCCTCAATAATAAGTATACCGTTTTGGATACTGTTGGGGGGGACGACCTACCAAAGGAAGGCCATAGTGGACAGGTCCCTGGCCCTGTGGCACAGAAGGGAAGATGGGAGAATAGGAGAGCAATTGTAGTGGGGGATTCAATAGTAAGAGGCACAGACAGACGGTTCTGTGGACACGAACGAGATGAACGGATGGTATGTTGCCTCCCGGGTGCCAGGGTCCGTGATGTCTTGGATCATGTCTTCAAGATCCTTAAGGGGCAGGGTGAGCAATCAGCAGTCGTGGTACACATCGGTACCAATGACATAGGTAGAAAAAGGACTGAGAATGTGAAAAATGAGTATAGGGAGTTAGGTTGGAAGCTGAAGTCCAGGACAAACAGGGTAGTTATCTCTGGATTACTACCAGCGCCACGTGATAACAAGGTAAGAAATAGGGAGAGAATGCAGCTAAACACATGTCTACAGTGTCAGTAGAGGAGGGAGGGCTTCCATTATGTGGATAATTGGAGCACATTCTGGGGAAGGTGGGACCTGTACAGTAAGGACGGGTTGCACCTGAACCAGAAGGGCACAAATATCCTGGGAGGGAGGTTTGCTTGAGCTATACAAGATGGTTTAAACTAGATTGGTAGGGAGTGGGGAACCGGATTTGTAATTCAGAGGATGAGGTATTCAGCCTTCCAACAGACACAACAGGGAGTGAGGTTGTTAATAAAGAAATGCGGTCGATGGAGCGTAATTGTGGACAGAGAGGTTTGAGGTGTGTATACTTCAATGCTAGAAGTATCAGAAATAAAGCGGATGAACTTAGAGCATGGGTCGGTATTTGGAACTACGATGTTGTGGCCATTACAGAAACTTGGGTAACTCAGGGACAGGAATGGTTGTTGGAAGTTCCGGGATTTAGATGCTTTAAAAGAAATAGGGAGGGTGGAAAAATAGGCGGGGGAGTGGCATTGCTAGTCAGGGCTAGTATAGCAGCTACTGAAAGGCAGTTCGAGAATGGTATGTCTATAGAGTCAGTTTGGGTTGAGGTCAGGAACGAGAAAGGAGCAGTCACTTTGTTGGGGTTTTTTTACAGACCCCCTAATAGTTGCAGCGAAACGGAGGAGCAGATTGGGAGGCAGATACTGGAAAGGTGCAGAAGTCACAGGATTGTAGTCATGGGTGACTTCAACTTTCCAAATATTGATTGGAAACATTTTAGTTGTAATAGTTTAGATGGAGCGGATTTTGTCCAGTGCGTTCAGGAAGGATTCCTGACACAGTACGTAGATAGACCAACACGAGGAGAGGCCACTTTGGATTTGGTGCTTGGCAATGAACCGGGCCAAGTGTTAGACCTGTTGGTAGGAGAACATTTTGGCGGTAGTGATCATAACTCTGTTACTTTTACAATAGTCATGGAAAAGGATAGGTACATACAGCAGGGTAAGGTTTATAATTGGGGGAAGGGTAATTACAATTCTGTTAGGCAAGAACTGGGTAACATAAAATGGGAACAGATGCTGTCAGGGAAGAGCACTATTGAAATGTGGAGATTGTTTAAGGAATGCATACAGCGTGCACTCGATATGTTTGTCCCTAGCAGGCAGGGAAGATGTGAGGGAGCCTTGGTTCTCAAGAGAGGTCGATGACTGGTTAAGAAGAAGAAGGATGCTTATATAAGGTTTAGGAAACAAGGAATGGAAAAGGCTCCAGAGGGAGACAAGTTAGCCAGGAAGGAGCTGAAGAAAGGGCTTAGGAGAGCTCTAAGGGGGCATGAGAAAACCTTGGCAGATGGATCAAGGAAAACTCCAAGGCTTTTTACAGGTACGTGAGGAATAAGAGAATGACCAGCGAAAGGGTAGGGCCGATCAAGGATTAGAAAGGGAATTTGTGCATGGAGCGTCAAGAGATAGGAGAGGTCCTTAATGAATACTTTTCTTCAGTGTTCACAACCGAAAGGGACCTAGTTGTAGAGGAGGACAGTGTGAAACAGGCTGGTAGGCTAGAGGAGGTCGATGTTAGTAAGGAAGATGTGCTAGTAATTTTGAGGAACTTGAAGATAGATAAGTCCTCCGTGCCTAATGGGATTTATCCAAGGATTCTACGGGAAGCGAGGGAAGAGATCGCAGGGCCTTTGGCGATGATCTTTTCGTCTTCACTGTCCACGGGTATAGTGCCGGAAGATTGGAGATAGGCAAATGTCATTCCCTTGTTCAAAAAAGGGAATAGGGATAATCCCGGAAATTACAGGCCAGTTAGTATCACTTCAGTGGTGGGCAAATTATTGGAAAGGGCTCCGAGAAATATGATTTATGATCACTTGGAAAGGCAGTTTGATTTGTGATAGTCAGCATGGATTTGTGAGGGGTAGATCATGCCTCACAAACCTTATTGAATTCTTTGAAGAGGTGACCAAACACGTAGATGTAGGTAGAGCAGTGGATGTGGTATACATGGATTTAAGTAAGGCGTTTGATAAGGTTCCCCATGGTAGGCTCATGCAGAAGGTAAGGAGGCATGGGATAGGGGGAAATGTGGCAGATTGGATTCAGAATTGGCTGACCCTTAGAAGACAAAGGGTGGTAGTGGACAGAAAATATTCAACATGGTGCTCAGTTACGAGTGGTGTACCACAAGGATTTGTTCTGGGTCCTCTTCTATTTGTCATTTTTGTAAATGATTTGGATGAAGGAGTGGAAGGGTGGATTCGTAAGTTTGTGGACGATACGAAGGTGGGTCGAGTTGTGGATAGTGCAGAGGACTGTTCTAGGTTACAAAGGGACATTGATGGGATGCAGAGATGGGCTAAGAAGTGGCAGATGGAGTTTAACCCTGAAAAGTGTGAGGTGATTCATTTTGGAGGGACAAATTTAAAAGCAGAATACAGGGTTAACGGAAAGATTCTTGGCAGTGTGGGGGAGCAGAGGGATCTTGGGGTTCATGTCCACAGTTCCCTAAAAGCTGCCACCCAGGTGGATAGAGTTGTTAAGAAGGCGTATGGTGTGTTAGCTTTCATTAATAGAGGGATTGACTTCAAGAGCTGTGAAGTTATGCTCCAGCTATACAAAAGCCTGGTTCGGCCACATCTGGAGTATTGTGTCCAGTTCTGGTCGCCTCATTACAGGAAAAATGTGAAAACGTTGGAAAAGGTGCAGAGGACATTTATCAGGATGTTGCCTGGAATAGAGGGAAGATCTTACGAGGAAAGGTTGAGAGAGCTAGGGCTTTTCTCTTTCGAACGACGAAGGATGAGAGGTGACTTCATAGAGGTGTACAAAATGATCAGAGGTATAGATAGAGTGGACAGCCAGAGACTTTTTCCTAGGGTGGAGGTAGCTATTACAAGGGAGCATAGTTTTAAAGTGAGTGGAGATACGATATCGGGGAGACGTCAGAGGTAGGTTCTTTACTCAGAGAGTGGTCCGGACGTGGAATGCATTGCCGGAGAGGGTATTGGAGTCGGCCTCATTAGGGGCATTTAAGCGGCTATTAGATAGGCATATGGATGATAGTAAAAGGTAGGGGTGGAGGTTAGATAGACCTTAGGATTAGGGTAAAAGTTCGGCACAACATCGTGGGCTGAAGGGCCTGTACTGTGCTGTACTGTTCTATGTTGTATGTTCACATTTAAAAAATTTGGATATGCACTTGAGGCTACACATCAAGTTATTAGATGGGACAGCTTTTTTTAGGTAGCAAGAACGCTATGGGCCAAATAGCCTCCCCATGGCTGTAAATGTTTCTACACTTCCATGTTTCCAACACCTCTAGTTGAAATATAGGGATGTGAAGCCTGACTGCACCCTAGCTCTGAAGCTCTTAAGGATTGAGCCTGACATTTCCTTTGTCTGTACTGCCAACCAACTGAATGTTTGGTCGCTAAATTTGCTGATGACACCAAGATAGGTAGAACAGCAAGATGTCAAGAGGAGGTACAGAGCTGCAAAGGGATATAGAGAAGCTAAGTAGGTGGGTAAAAATTTGGCAGATAGAATATAATGCGGATAAATGAATTTATGCATTTTGGAACAAAGAACAGAAAAGCAATATATTACTTTAGTGGAGAAGACTGCCAAACTTAGCAGTACAAAGGGATCTGGGTGTACTGGCATGTGAATCACAAAAGATTAGTATGCAGGTTGGCACGTGAATAGAAATGCCACTAGACCATAAGATAAAGGAGCAGAATTACGTATTTGGCCCTTTGAATCTGCTCCGCCATTTGACCATGGCTTATATGTTTCTCAATCCCATTCTCCTACTTTCTCCCATAATTTTTGATCCCCTCACCAATCAAGTACTAACTCTGTCTTAAATACCCTCAATGACATGGCCTCCACTGCAGCAATGAGTTCCACAGATCCATCACAATCTGGCTGAAGAAATTCCTCCTCATCTCAGTCTAAAGTGCCATCCCTTCAGTCTGAGGCTGTACATTTGGGTTCTAGTTTCTCCTACTAGTGGAAACATCTTCTCCACATTCACTCTATCAAGCCTCTCAGTATTCTCTAAGTTTCAATGAGGTTCCCCTTTGTCTTTCTAAACTCCATGAAGTACAGACCAAGAGTCTTCAACCTCACCTCAGATGACAAGTCCTTCACCCCCAGGATCATTCTTATAAACTTCCTCTGGATCCCTTCCAATGCCAGCATATGGGCCCAAAATTGCTCACAATATTTCAAATGTCTGACCAGAGTCTTAGAAGTCTCAGCAGTACATCCCTGCTTTTGTATTCCAGCCCTCTTGAAATAAATGCTTCCTTAACTGGCAACTGAACTTGCATGTTCAGAAAATCCTGAACCAGAACTCCTAAATCCTTCCGTGCTTCAGATTTCCGAAGCCTTTCCCCATTCAGAAAATTGTCTAAACCTCCATTAGGAAAATGGAATGTTAGCCTTTGTTACAAGAGAGTTCGAGTACAGGATCAAGGAAACATAGAAACTAGGAGCAGAAGTAGGTCATTTGGCTTGTCAAGTCTGTTCTGCCATTTGGTATAATCATGGTTGATCCTCTATTTCAATGCTGTATGCCTGCTTTCTCCCCATACCCCTTGATGCCTTTTAAATTAAAAAAAAAACTTTCTTTAATATTTTCAGTGATTTTGCCTCCACAGGCTTTGCTGGTAGTGAATTCCGCAGGTTTTTCTCATCTCAGTTCTAAATGGACTACCCCGTACCCTGAGACTGTGTTCCCTGGATCTAGACTCCCCAATCGAGGAAAACATCCTCTCTGCATCTAATCTCTCCAGCCCTATTAGAAATTTATTTATTTCAATCAGATTCCCTCTCATCCTTTTGAACTCAAGTGAATACAAGCCCAGTTGAACCGATCTCTCCTCATAGAACAGTTCTGCCAAACCTGATATCAGCCTAGTTAACCGCCACTGTAGTTCCTCAATGGCAAGGAAGTCTTGCTGCAGCTGTACAGTGTCTTGCTGAGACTACATTTGGAGAAATGCCTACAGTTTTAGACTCCTTACCTAAGAAAAGATATACTTGCCATAGAGGGAGTACAGTGAAGGTTCATCAGACTGACTTTTGGAACGTTAGGAACAAAAACAGAAGTTGCTGGAAAAGCTCAGCAGGTCTGGCAGCATCTGTGAAGAAAAAAACAGAGTTAACGTTTCAGGTCCGGTGTCCCTTCCTCAGAACTGGACCGGATATGTTAACTCTGTTTTTCCCATCTCAGATGCTGCCAGACCTGCTGAGCTTTTCCAGCAACTTCTGTTTTTGTTCCTGATTTACAGCATTCGCAGTTCTTTCGGTTTTTATTTTGGAGTGTCAGGTTTGTTCCTTACAAGGACAGACTGGATCAACTGGGCATGTATTCACTGAAGTTCAGAAGAAGTTTCATCAAAACATAAAATACTGACGTGGCTGGACAGATTGAATGCAAGCATTATGTCTCCCCTGGCTGGGAGAGTCCACATCAAGAGGTCTCAGAATATGGGGTAGGCCACTTCAGATTGAGAGGAAGAGAATTTTTTTTTAAAGTGGTGAACCTGTGGAATTCTCTACCACAGAAGGCCAAGTCCCTAAATATGTCGAAAAAGAAATAGTTTTCTACAGGCTAAATGTGTTAAAGGGTACAAGGAGAGAGTAGACGCATGGCACTGAGATACAGGATCAACAAAGGTATACCGAATGGCAAAGCGGGCTCAATGGGCTGAACAGCCTATACCTGTTCTCTTTTCTATGTCTAATGCCTCTTTTTAATCTTAAGCCCCTGACTACGATACTCACTATCCCAGTAATCTTTGTGTTTTTGACAACCTTTAGTAAAACACTGTGGTTTTTTTAAAGCCATTGTCAAGTATTATGAATAATTGAAGCACCAGCACAATTTCTTTTTGGATGCCATAGTAACCTTCTTCCAATCTAGCACTTCTCTGTTATCTCCATTCTTTGCCTGCTACCCAATCATGTAGGGAGCATGACTCTGTACTTTTAGAAATGGAAAGAATTAGGGTAGATTAGTAAGAAGATTGATAAAGCATAGGAGATATTTAAAATCCGAAAGAACTGCAGATGCTGTAAATCAGGAACAAAAGCAGAAGTTGCTGGAAAAGCTCAGCAGGTCTGGCAGCATCTGTGAAGAAAAAAATCAGAGTTAACGTTTTGGCTCCAATGACCCTTCCGCAAAACTGGTTTATATTTATTTGTTTTTAAATTTGTTTTGTATTTATTTTTATATTAATTTATATATATTTATGTATTTATTTTGACTCACCTTTTCAAATGATCCAGCAGAAATAGGAAGGTAATAAGATTAGGTTCTGGCAGTGAAAGCAGCAGATTTAGCATACAGCTCTCCTTAGCAACTGGATCAGACAGTGCTGAGAAAAATAAACAGCAATGTGAGTTTGATCATTTCAGACATCTACTCCAAAGGCCTGAGCTTTGATTCATTACTTATCTGACAGAAAACAGAACTATTTTAAAACAGATCAATATATTGGTGAAAAGGATGTAATTTCACTCAGTTTTGAAGCATTAGTGCTTAGTATCATGGAATGGGAGAACACAGGTCTGATCTCCAATCCCAGATAAGGGCTATCAGACCTTGCCATTTCTCTGAAAATGGTAGGTAAAAATTGCATGGAAAAGTGCAATTTTCCATTGGGCTTTTGAACATGTATCTTGCCACTCAGGGTCTAGGGTGAATCAGTTTTGTAACCATAATTGTAAGAACATACTGATTTTCTCCTTTTGTTTTTGGTAATGGTCCCACACAATCTAGTAACACACAACCACACAGTTCTTCATAAACTGTATGGGTTTCAAAAGTGTTTAATTACATGCTAACATTTTCCTGTCATCCAAGATGTGATACATTTTTCAGAGCTGCACTGTCGTTATGAAATCTTGGCAATATATAACTGTTTCTCGATGTTTTTGCTTTCTGTATTCCTATATCTCCTGCGAAATAATTTTATTTGTTAACTCGCAATCTCTCCAAATGATATCTGGATGGTATCATTTTTCAATGAACATTGACCACTCTTAGTATGCAGATCTATGAGGATGTCTCCATTTCCTCACCAGGGCTGCAGTTTTTACATTTGAGCATTCTGGGACACCTTCAGCCTTAACTTCACTGTGTGCATTCTGTTCTAACTTATTCTGGATCTGCTTCCTGAGCCTCAATTAATAATGACACACCAAACATTTCTTCTGAATTGTCCTCATTCTGAAATGGAGTTTCAGTTATCCTAACATCTGTCTGTGATATTACTGTGATTGTACTGTGATACTCTGGTGATGGACTTTGTTTAGACATCGCTCTGCTCACTACACACATTGGAAAATGAACTGAAACCTGTCCTTGCAACTGTTGTTTCCTTTGCCGCATTTGGAATTTCCATGATAATCAGCGGAGCTATAACTTACACTCAGCCAAGACATTCCCAGGAGTAAATTCATTCCATCCACAGCTAATTTACTAACCGTCCTGCCTATCAGTAGTTTAGATGACAAGTCACATGCTAACGGGATTTTGTACAGTGGAAGCAAAATCCTTTCCCAGCAAAAGATTTTGAGGTGTGATGATGCTGTGGCTTTAAGAGGTGTATTTTGTCCTGGTTTCTTTTAGAGAGAGATTGGTGGCCAAGTGTTGAGCAGTCTATGAGAAGATAAACAACTTGTGAGGCTTTGGGGTTTTTTTTAAAAAGGCTGGAAGAATAGAAGCAACCTGAGTGGGTGTGGTTAAGCTCTCACAGATCCAGGATTTTAGTTAGTTTTTGGCAGTTATTGCTGGGGTGTCAGCAGGGTTGGAAGGCAGTGAATCTCTCCCGGCTACACACTCTCTCTCAGAATTGTCTTTTGATGTTCTTTCCTCCTGGACTGCAGAACTGCATGCGAGACAATCTGTTTTCTGAATTTGCCTTTATGCCAAGGGCGTGTTTATGGGATGTTACAATATTGGAACAGTTAATTAGTATTAGTTACGATATCTATTATTCTGCTAAGTTTTTCAAAAGAATTGTTATTCCAAGTTCTTTCTTTTGTTGCATTTTAACCATAGTGTTTGAATAAATTGCATTTTGCTTAATGTCGAGTAGTTTGACCAATCGAATTGCATCCTGAACACACTACGTGACATTTACCTTTAAAATATGAAAAATTTAGAGTCTAAGCTATCTTCTAATTATATTTTGAGGGGTGTCTGGTCTGGCCAATAACAGAGTACCCCTGTATTCCTTACTATATTACAGGTTTGGCTTCCTCATTTTAAGAAAAGGGGTTTAGAACTTAGAACATAGAAGATAGAACAGTACAGCACAGTACAGGCCCTTCGGCCCACGATGTTGTGCCGAACTTTTACCCTAATCCCAAGGTCTATCTAACCTCCACCCCTACCTTATACTATCATCCATATGCCTATCTAATAGCCACTTAAATGCCCCTAATGAGGCCGACTCCAATACCCTCTCAGGCAATGCATTCCATGCCCCTACCACTCTCTGAGAAAAGAACCGACCTCTGACGTCTGCCCTGTATCTACCTCCACTCACTTTAAAACTATGCCCCCTCGTAATAGCTACCTCCACCCGAGGAAAAAGTCTCTGGCTGTCCACTCTATCTATACCTCTGATCATTTTGTACACCTCTATCAAGTCACCTCTCATCCTTCGTCGTTCTAAAGAGAAAAGCCCTAGCTCTCTCAACCTTTCCTTGTAAGACCTTCCCTCCATTCCAGGCAACATCCTGGTGAATCTCCTCTGCACCTTTTCCAATGCCTCCACATCTTTCCTGTAATGAGGCGACCAGAACTAGACACAATACTCCAGATGTGGCCGAACCAGGCTTTTATATAGCCGGAGCATAACTTCACGGCTCTTGAACTCAATCCCTCTATTAATGAAAGCTAACACCTTCTTAACAACCTTATCCACCTGGGTGGCAGCTTTCAGGGAACTGTGAACATGAACCCCAAGATCCCTCTGCTTCCCCACACTGCCAAGAATCTTTCCGTATTCTGCATTTAAGTTTGTCCTTCCAAAATGAATCACCTCACACTTTTCAGGGTTAAACTCCATCTGCCACTTCTCAGCCCAGCTCTGCATCCTATCAATGTCCCTTTATAAACTAGAACAGCCCTCCGCACTGTTCACAACGCGACACACCTTCGTATCGTCTGCGAACTTGCTAATCCACCCTTCCACTCCTTCATCCAAATCATTTACAAAAACCACAAAATGAAGAGGACCCAGGACAGATTCTTGTGGTACACCACTCGTAACTGAGCACCACGTTGAATATTTTCCGTCCAATACCACCCTTTGTTTTCTAAGGGTCAGCCAATTCTGAATCCAATCTGCCACATTTCCCCCTATCCCATGCCTCCTTACCTTCTGCATGAGCCTACCATGGGGAACCTTATCAAACGCCTTACTTAAATCCATGTATACCACTTTCACTGCTCTACCTACATCTACGTGTTTGGTCACCTCTTCAAAGAATTCAATAAGGTTTGTGAGGCATGATCTACCCCTCACAAATCCATGCTGACTATCACGAATCAAACTGTGCCTTTCCAAGTGATCATAAATCCTATCTCTTCGAGCCCTTTCCAATAATTCGTCCACCATTGATGTAAGACTAACTGGCCTGTAATTTCCAGGGTTATCCCCATTCCCTTTTTTGTACAAGGGAATGACATTTGCCTCTCTCCAATCTTCCGGCACTATACCCGTGGACAGTGAGGACGAAAAGATCATCGCCGAAGGCCCTGCGATCTCTTCCCTCGCTTCTCATTGAATCCTTGGATAAATCCCATCAGGCCCGGGGGACTTCTCTATCTTCAAGTTCCTCAAAATTCCTAGCACATCTTCCTTATTAACACTGACCTTCTCTAGCCTACCAGCCTGTTTCACACTGTCCTCCTCTACATCTAGGTCTCTCTCAGTTGTGAATACCGAAGAAAAGTATTCATTAAGAACCTCTCCTACCTCTTTAGGCTCCGTGCACAAATTCCCTTTACAATCCTTGATCGGCCCTACCTTTTCTCTGGTCATTCTCTTATTCCTCACGTACCTGTAAAAAGCCTTGGAGTTTTCCAATATCATATCTGCCAAGGTTTTCTCATGCCCCCTTATAGTTCTTCTAAGCTCTTTCTTCAGCTCCTTCCTGGATAACTTGTATTCCTCTAGAGCCTTTTCCGTTCCTTGTTTCCTAAACCTTACATAAGTATCCTTCTTCCTCTTAACCAGTCATTCGACCTCTCTTGAGAACCAAGGCTCCCTCACTCGGCCGCATCTTCCCTGCCTGCTAGGGACAAACATATCGAGCACACGCAGTATGCATTCCTTAGACAATCTCCACATTTCAATAGTGCTCTTCCCTGACAGCATCTGTTCCCAATTTATGTTACACAGTTCTTGCCTACTACTTCTCATTACACAAAAACCATCATCAGTACTTTCTTTTTGATCTCAGGAGGAGATTTTGTGGCAATCCAGCTATTTACTCTACCCCGGCGACTTGTTTTTCTTTCACCTTCTGACTTTCTCTCTCTTTCTAATTTAGGAGGGTGATGGAAAAAAGGTGCAGTTTTATGGTTCAGCTCATAATCTTCAGCCATTATTGCTGTCTGTCTAGAAGTTTGGGGCAGCACAGTGGCTCAGTGGTTAGCACTGCTGCCTCACAACACCAGGGATCCAGGTTCGGTTCGATCCTCAGGCGACTATCTGTGTGGAATTTATACATTCTCCCCATGTCTGCATGTGTTTCTTCTGGGTGCTCTGGTTTCCTCCCACAGTCCAAAGATGTGCAGGCTATAGATTCATAGATTCCCTACAGTGTGGAAACAGGGCCTTCAGCGCAACAAGTTCACACCAACTCTCAGAACATCCCACCCAGACCCATCCCCTTAAACCTACCTAATCTGTACACCCCTGAACACTCGGGGCAATTTAGCATGGCCAATCGACCTAGCCTGCACAGTCCTAGGTGGATTGGCCATGCTAAATTACCCATAGTATTCAGCGATGTGTGGATTAGGTGGGTTATAGGGGGATGGGTCTGGGTGGGATGCTCTGAGGGTCAGTGTGGACTTGTTGGGCTGAAGGGCCTGGTTCCACACTGTAGGGATGATATGGATATGGATATTGGTATAAGTTGCAAATCTTTGGTCTTAAACATGGGTTATTATTATAGAAGGTAGTGAGCTTTTAAACTTGCTTTCAGAGAATAATTGCCTGGATTTTCTGCTGGCCAGAAGTTGTTATGCCAGTGTAAACAGGAGTTGCACATGGAGACCCTACCCATTGCCAGATCAGTCCAGCTGCCTGCAGGACTTGACCACCTTAAATCAAGTGCAACTCCTCAGGAATAT